CGCCGTGGCCCTGCGCCCGCTGCTATTCCCAGCTCGCCCCGCCGCCTGGGGCTGCTGCCACAGCCTTCCTCCTTGGGGGAGGCAGAGGATGGGGACAGCAAGTGGGGCAATGCCCCGGCACCCCCATGTCCTGCCCTACTGGGGGGCGGCAGAACTGGAATGGGGGGTCCGTGTCAGTGGGTCTGTCCTGGGAGCAGGGCGCTGAGCAGGGCAGATTTCCCCCACGGGAGGCTGGTGCTTACTGTGTCAGTTTAATGATTTCTAATGAGCAATTACCTCTAGTCAGTCCCCTAATTTCTGAATATCAATAAAGTTAATTAAACACTGCATGTGCATTTCCCAGAGTCTTAAAAGTAGGGATGCCCTGGGAGGTGCTGAGCTTTTCCCAGGACTGGGACCCATGGCATCCTGTCCACCCTGTGTCCCCTCATCATGTTCTGGGAGCTGCCTGTGTGGCTCATGCCTCAAAGTCCCTGTCCTCCATCAGGCAGGGCTCCCAGGGGTTCCATGCAGCAGTGCCAGGCTCAGTGTCACCGTGGCCTTGGCTTGGCATCGATGGGCTGGTGCATGATGGGGATGAGCTGTGGGTCAGAGGGACGTGGGGTCAGGGAGTCTTGGACACCTCATCCAGGCTGGGGAGCTTTGTGATGTGGTCTGAGGGGTGGCAGTGCAGGGTCTGATCCTGCCTCTCCTGCCCCAGTTGTGGGGCACCACCAGCCCCTGGTGTCTACAGGGATCTGCCCCAGCAGAAAGTGGGGTCTGGCCCCCATGGCACTGGTGAAGCCGAGGGGAATGGTGCCAGGCACAGCTCCATCCACCCTGCCCCACTGCAGTCCTTCTCCCCAGCTCTCCAAAGCCATTGCAGGCCAGGAATTTTTTGTGGGGGTCATTTTAGCCTTGCTGGAGGGATCTCCTTGTAATTTGGGGTCCTGGCAGCCTGTGGCATTAGGAAACATCACAGGCTGTGTCAGGGGGCACAGGGCCTGGCTGTGCCCCCATGAGCTGTGCCAGAGCATCCAGCATCAGCCAGCTGCACTGTGCCCATGGGGTGATGTATTTGGGGGGCACGGTGCCCCTGGGGGTCTCGGTGTGAGGAGGGGCTGGGGAAGGGGGCGGACGCCCACTCCAGTAATTGCTCACAGCGCGTGTGCTCGTGCCCTGCGTGCCTCCGAGGAGTTCGTCACCGCCGCGCTGCCGTGCCGCCAGGCCAGGATTATCTGGATAATGCTCTTAAGCCAGGGAGCGGGAGGGCAGGGCTGTCCCGGGGGGATGTGGGGCACAGGCTGAGCCAGGTTCCCCCAGCGCTGCCCAAGCCTGGCTGCCGCAGGGATGGCCCCTGGGTTTGCAGTGCTGGGGATGGATTCAGTGCAGGGTGCTGGGCCAGGCAGGGCTGGAGCAGAGCAGGGGGAGTGTGGGGGAAAAGGGGGGCAAAAATCCTTGGGCAAGGGCATGACAAGGGCACCCCCAGGCCTGGTTTGGAGCAGCAGAGCCCCCACATTTTTCTGTGCTGCTGGTGGGACCCTCAGGCTGGCACGGGGCTCCTGGGGCTGTCACTCCCTGCTGGGGTGGGGGCTGAGGCTGACCTGGCTGTGGGGTCCCCTGGGAGCACCAAGAGCCCCCAGGGGAGGTGGATGAAGTTGTGTCTCCAGCGGCTCTGACGGGAGAGGATAATTTCGCCTCCAATCAATTCTTTAAATGCGCACAATTGAAAGATTGCCTCTGAAAGCTGCCTATAACCAGGGAGGTAATGGATTCCCTCCAGTCGCAGGCAGGAGCTCGGGAGTGGCAGCATCCCTTCCTCCTGCTGCTGGGGACATGGGGACAACCAGAGGGCCAGCACTGCTCTCACCATGAGCAGCCTCGGGTGGGTGAAGGGGCTGCCTGCACCCCTCAGAGGCAGCTGGGGACGGCTCCATCTGCCTGGCGGCTCCATCTGCCTGGCCTGCTGCCAGCCTGCCCTGTGCTGAGACCTGGCACTGCTCATCACATCCTCCGAGGTGCCAGGGGGTCCTATTGGCCAAGGCTGGGGATCTGCTCGGCCCCCAGCCTGCGGGAGAGGCAGCCGGAGCCAGCCTGCACACTCGCTGTGCCAGTAGGAATTATTACATATATAATTTAAATGCAGTAACGAGCTGTGCTGAAGGGATCAAATATTAATCAGCTGCAAGAGCGCTGCTCTGACCCTGTGAAAATGGAGAGAGGTGCTTGAAATGCCAGATCAGCCAGTGGTGGGCGATGAGCGAGGTGATGCTTGGGCAGGGCAGGCTCTGGTTGTCCCCACATACCCTGGGGGGTGGCAGCAAGGGGCAGTGTTGGCTGTGAGATCAGCCCTGAGTGTCTTCCAGAACTGGCTGGTTCATCCTGTAGGGAAAGCAGTGCTCGGGCAGGATGTGGGGCTGGCTGAGGAGCCATGGGGGCAGCTGGAGCGCCGGCTGTGGCAGGAGCAGGCGGCGATGGGAGGNGCTCTGTCTGTGTGTGCATGTGCAGCAAATCCAGGCCCTCCTGGCTCCCCCCAAGAGCGAAGATGGGGAGAAGAAGAGCAGGAGGCCCGAGAAGGAGCCCAGGCGAAGTGGCAGGGCCACTAACCACGATAGCTGCGATAGCTGCAAGGAAGGAGGGGATCTGCTGTGCTGCGATCACTGCCCCGCCGCTTTCCACCTCCAGTGCTGGTAAGGCTTGGCGCTCTCTCCCTCCGGATCTGCCCAGAGCACCTTCCCTCCGGCCTCTCCCGCTTCCCGTTAGGTCCCAGGGAGGGGGGGGACGCGGGGCCGGCTGGAGCAGACAGGAACAAAAAGGAGGTGCAAACCCCGCTTGGGTCCATCCCTCCTTAGGCTAATCCACGGCGGCCGAGGTGAACCCTCCCCTGGCTGCTTTCTGGAGGGTTGGGGGTCCTCCCTCCTCCTTTCTTTTTGTGCTGAGCAGCGGGCGAGAGGCCTGGAGGAGGAGCGAGGCCGCTGGCTGCGCGGCCTGGCTGCCTTGGTGCTGCCCCTGCCCAGCCTTTCGCCCTCCCCAGCGGGAAACTTCCCCACCTCACCCCTCTGCAAGGGTGCCTGGCTTGCGGGGAACCCTCCGGAGGGCCCTGGCTGGAGAGGGGGAAGCCCTGGTGGCGTCTCCGCACCAGGCCTGACGTTCCCAGCGCTTCCGTGCTGCTGCAGCTGCTGGGAATAATGGAGGTTGCTGTCTCTGTGTCTCCCTGCCTCACTGTTTACAATATGGCGACCTTCCTTTAAATTATATTTTTATTCTCAGCGCCATTTTGGCTGCATATATGACTTCCAAACCCTCGCAACGCTCCCCACAGTATCTCAAACGTGAAAATACCTTCCCCGTGGAAATCCAGGCCTTCAGACTTTAACGTTGGCCGGGTTTATTCCTTTCCCTCCTTTTTTCCCTTCCTCCTTGCTCTTCCGACCTGCTTGTCTCATCCGTGGGGGTGTCTGCCGTGAGCCGGGGGGCTGCCGGGCGCTCTTTGCTGGGAGTTGTGTGGCTTTGTTGATGAAGGCAGAGCTTTCTGCATGCGGATCTGGCTGCCGGCTGGGAACCGAGGTGCGTGTGGAAGCGGTGGCAGAGCTCGAGGTGCTGGAGGCTGCAGCAGGATGGGCTCTTGCTGCCTTCCCTCGCAGCTTCCCAAGCTCTCCCGGCACAAAGCGACACCACGCCAAAAGCAGCGCCTCCTCAACTTTCCGCCCCAAAGTTTTTTCCTTTTTCTGCACCCGGAGCTTGGATGCATCCTGAAATCCCCCCTTCCAAAAGTTGACACAGGCGGGCGGTTTGTGTTAAATTAGCACAGCCAGAGTGGATAATGGAGTGGAGGAGGGAGCGGGGCAAGTCAAACAGCTGGAGCTTGGGAGTACAGAGTATTCTTCCTTAGGGGAGATTTTTTAACCACATTCCTTTCTCTCTTTCATGCTTTGGAGCTTTGTTTGCCACCCTGTTACAGCTGTCTCCTCTGCGCTTTTTTTTTTCCCTCCCTCTGTTGTTTGTTTTTTTTTTTCTTTGCTTTTTTCTGATTTTCATTTGCTCGCTGGCTATTCTGCATTTCTATGCTAATTGAGGGTCTCAGAACACTTAGTAAACTGGCTGCTGATAGCAGGGGAGCTGAGTGTGCGGTCACAGTTCTGTAGGGAGTGTCCCGTTAGCAGCGTGTAGCCAGGCAAACCCGACAATGCTGTAGCATGCAGCCATGACATCATCCCTCCTACCCTGAGGAAGTGCTACTGGTGGTGGTAGTGCAGATCCTCTAATATTTACTAGCAGGATAGTAATTATCATTATTTTGCATCCAGTGTCCTTGATGAGCTTTAATTTAAGGGTGTTTTTTTTCCTTCTGCCGGGCGTTGTTGCTTTCGGGTGCATCCTGAGCGTTCTCGTAGCGAGGATAGAACTTCACATTTTGGAATGGAAGAGCTGTGCCTAAGGCTGCAGAGTTAACTCTGAATCTTAGTTAAGTCTGACCATAAATGAGACCACTTTGTGCATGCCTAAATTTTATGGCTTAATTTGGTGATGTTTTTGTAGTTAGCGAGTGGGAAACAACCGGGTAAATCAGATACCTGTAAAACTTTAGCTGTGCCTGAGTTAGTTGCATTATAATTGTATAAGAATTTATGTAAAAATATTATAGAAAAATATGTGTATCTTCAAGTAGTCACTTTTCAGAACAGAAATGAAAGAGCAATTCTAAATACTCTCTTTCACCCCATTTGTTGCCTCTTCTGGGGTTTCTCAAACGATCCCTTTGACAGCAGCCCAGACCCTGCTGTGGGAGGTGGCACAGTGTGGAAAGGCTTTGTCTGAAGGCCTCCAGCTTGGGCCTGTTCTGCCTCCTTCCTCCTGGAGCTTTGTTGGACCTTTGGCTGTGGCCTTCAGGTGACCTAGGTTGTCTCAAAGGGATGCTCAGGTTTTGTTTTCATGTGTCTTCCCATTACCTCCTGCATTTTGCTGGAAGTAAACTTCCGTTATGGGTATAAACTTAGGCATAAAGGCAGCACTTGCAACTTCCTTTCTGCCTCCTTTTTTTATTTAAAGAATGGTAGCTGTAATGCAAGACTTGATTTGAGTCACTTGAATAGCACTGCTGGAGCACTCTGATTTGTGTTGACAGCTTACCTGTTCTCTGAATATTTATTATGAGCTTTAGTACCAGATTGAATTTATTATCAATACAGCATAACAAAAAATGTAGCTTTTAATTGGTCTAGGGTTTGTGATCAGTTGATTACAGCTGTAATCAGCTCCCATACAGCTGTATGGGAGGGGCTATATTATAAAAGGAAAGGATTTTCAGGGGTGTGATTGGCACAAGTCATGCTGTCAGCTGGAAACAAACCCAGCTCAGCTTCCCAGGAACTCGTGTTGCTCTTTCCTGTATAGAGAAGGTTCTTCTGTATCAAGTTGTTTAAGCCTGTGGTGAGGAAGCTGGCTTTGCTAGGTGTGTGACCCTCAAACTTCAGCAGTTTGCCTTAACTTCAGTTTAGCACTTAAACCCCTTGTCCTCTGTGGAAAACAGAAGGCACTTGGCCAAAGATCCCAGAACTTTCAGAGTCTGATAGTGTTACACATCTGAGGCGGTAAATAACAAGTTTTGTTGGTACACTGTGGCACAACTGCTCTCCTGAATTAACGTGGGTGGAAGTGACTTCCCAAGTCTTCTGTTGGGGTGTCAGCTTTTCCCACAACTCCATTTTGGAGTCACTAGTTCAGTGTGAAGCTGCTATGGGTGCTCTGAGAGGCCAAAAGATTCCAGCCTGGCTGCAGATAAACTGGCCTGGTGGGAGGGATACAGGGAAGTGTGAAATCCCTGCCAGATACTTAGTTTCAACATACTTGGATTAATATCACGGTCAGGTGACTCTCCTCAGGTTTGAATCTACAGAGAGAGGTTTTTTGTCTCTACTAATTCTTGAAAGCTGGACGTGGGATTTTTGGCTCTGAAGTTGGTGTCTGGTTCTGCTGTTTGCCCACAATCTGCTGCTTTGGGTAACAGTGCAGAGTGCATTTCCATCCTGATGTTCTGCCTTAGCCCAAGCCCCTAGGGACAGTGCATACTCCTTCTTTACATGATTGAAAACCAATTTTCCAGTGCTACTTCTATTCTTTCCCATTTATATCCTCCTCCTGGCAATGTGATTGTTAGAATTCCCTGTGTTTTCTTGAGCTTGTAGTAAACTTGATTCACATTGAAGCGGGTTTGCAAAGTGACTGATGTTGCAAATTCATTACGAAGGATTAGAAAGATCCCCGGGAGAGGAAAAGTTTAGTTAACAAGCTGGGGGAGGGGAGTGACAACAGGAGGGAGAACCAGCACAGAACAGTTTTGTGTTTGTTTTTTTTCTCTCTCTTTTTGTTTTTTTTTTTTTTTTTTTNACTTCTCACCCCTGCTGTTGGTTTCTTTCTTCCACCTCCTCCAGCCTCCTACGATGAGTTTTATAGCAACCGCAACCTGGATGGTAAGGGCGAGGGTGTTTTGGGGTGCCGGAGCGCTGAGGGGCACCCGGGGGGCGGCAGATGTGGGGTGTCCCCTGGGTGAGTCCCGATTCTCCCTCCCGCACAGCTGTGGCCAAGGCTGTGCCCTCGGGGACGACGCTGGAGGGCACCAACGTGGCCATCGCTGTCTTCCTGCCCGTGCTGGTGGTGGCCCTGCTCATCGGGGGCATTTATCTCTACTTCTCCAAGTGAGTGGCCCCCCGTGACCCCCTGGGGCCCCATGCGCAGTCCCCCAGTGCCCACTGCAGCTGCCCTTTCCCCACAGGCTCCAGGGGAAGCCAGCCCTGCAGCTGCCCCTGGCTGGCTCCCACCCCTACGACCACATCACAGTGGAGTCGGCTTTTGACAATCCCACCTATGAGACAGGAGTAAGTACCGGCCCCCACACCCCCCATGTGGGGCTGGGCACGCTGGGGACCCTGCACTGCATGGGCCACCTGTGCCAGGGGCTGGGACAGGTGTGGCATGGGATCATGTGTTCCATTAGACTGGACATCCATCCAGGAAAACACAGGGAATGGGACATGCACACAGAGACCACCCATGGGATGATGGATCTATCCAGGGGCTGTTCAGGGATGGACATCCAGTTAGGGACCATGCACGGGATGGAACATGGATCCAGGGACCACATGTGGGGTGGGATATCCCTCTAGGCACCACACATTACTCCAGAAACCATCTAGGGACCATTCACACCCTCTGGGATATCCATCCAGGCACCACACATTAGTTCAGAAATGAACTAATCAATCAATCCAGCGACCACACACACTCTCTGGGATATCCACCCAAGGACCATGGACAGGATGGACACTGATCCAGAACCCGTGTTTGGGATGGGAAACGCATCCCCAGGGCTCTCTGTAGTCTGGGATGTGCCCCCAGCTCCTTATGGGATGGGAGATGCCCTAACCCTGTCCCGGGCACCCCGTTGCACTGTGTCCAACCCCTTGCAGTCTGTTTTCTTTGCAGGACACGAGGGAATATGAGGTGTCCATCTAGGTGTGGGCAGCGTGGAGCAGGGCGCTGCAGCCACCCCTCCCCTCCGTGCCCGCCGGCCCCGNCGCCTGCACCTCCACTTTGAGAAGGTTTCGCTGGCAGAGGATGATGACAGGTTTGGCTCAAATTGGGGGGCAGGGATCTGAGGGCACCCTGGGACAGCTCTTCATGGGGCTGTGTTAAAAGGATGAGTGCTCTTGGCAATATCCAAGGATGGGTGCCACTGGCCATATCCAAGGATGGGATCTGCCATGGATGGGTGACATTAGTCATATTTTAGGATGGGTGTAGTTTGCCATGGCTAAGTGTGACTACCTTTGGCCATTGGCCATGGTCAAGGACAGGTGTGGCGGCCTTTGACCATTGGGCATGGTCAAGGATGGGATCTGCCATGTATGGGTGCCATTAGTCGTATTTAAGGAATGGGTGTTTCTCACCAAGGCCAAGTGTGGCTACCTTTGGCCATTGTCAAGGACAGGCGCTGTTGGCCATATCCAAGGATGGGATCTGCCATGGTTGGGTGCCGTTAGTCATATTTAAGGATGGGTGCTGCTCGCCATGGCCAAGTGTGGCTACCTTTGGCCATTGGCCATGGTCAAGGATAAGTTTTGTTGGCCATATCCAAGGAAGATAACCTCTGGCCATGCCCAATGATGGTGCTGTTGGAAATGGCTGGGCTTAAAGGCTACCATCCATGCCCAAGCATGCTGTTGGCCATGGCCAGCAGTGCACCCTGCCCTTGTCATGCCTTGGCAGGCTCATCATTCGCAACGGCAACAACGTGGAGGCCCCGCCAGTGTACGACTCCTACGAGGTGGAGTACCTGCCCATTGAGGGGCTGCTCAGCACCGGCCGCCACTTCTTCGTCGAGCTCACCACCGACAGCAGCGGGGCCGCGGCGGGCATGGCGCTGCGCTATGAGGGTATGGGGCCAAGGGAGCAGCAGGTGACCCCAATATCCCTGTGCCCACCTGGCCCCCGCAGACCTTTGCCCCTGTGCCCGCAGCCTTCGAGCAGGGGCATTGCTATGAGCCCTATGTCAAGTATGGGAACTTCACGGCCAGCGATCCCCGGTACCCCGTGGGCACCACGGTGGAGTTCAGCTGCGACCCTGGCTACACGCTGGAGCAGGGCTCCACCATCATTGAGTGTGTGGACCCCAATGACCCACAGTGGAATGAGACAGAGCCAGCTTGCCGTGGTGGGTGCTGGTGCTGGAGGGTGCCAGGGGGTGGTTTGGATGGGGCTTGAGGGATACTGCAGCCACCATGCTGTTGAGTGTGATGGAGCTGAGGGACATAGTGGGTGCTGGGTGTGGGATGCTGGAGTGGGTGGGTGCCCCATGGCAGTGCCAAGCCTGGCGTGTGCCCACAGCGGTGTGCAGCGGGGAGCTGACAGACACAGCTGGAGTGGTGCTGTCACCCAACTGGCCAGAGGCGTACGGCAAAGGCCAGGACTGCATCTGGGGGCTGCACGTGGAGGAGGACAAGCGCATCATGCTGGACGTCCGTGTGTGAGTGCTGGGATGGGATGGGATGGGATGGTGGGATGGTGGATCTGTGCCCTCCCTGCTCTCACGGCCCCACTGCCCCAGGCTGAGGTTGGGCTCGGGGGACATGCTGACCTTCTACGACGGGGACGACCTGACGGCGCGCATCCTGGGCCAGTACACGGGCGCCCGCGGCCGCTTCNTTCTGTCACCAGCTCCCTGCAACCGGACGCTGGCGGGTCCCGAGGGCTGGCTGGTGTCCCCAGAGCCAGCTGGTGTCCCCTATGATGGCAGCCTGGACTGCACCTACACCATCTCTGTCTACCCTGGCTATGGTGTGGAGCTCAAGGTGAGCTGAGGGCTGAGGGTGGGCCAGGGTGGGAAGTGCCCGCAGACAGGTGTGGTGTATCCCCTCCTCTGTGCCACGGCTGTGTGTCTATGCAGAGAGCACAAACACATGGTCTTGTCCCCATTCCTGTGTCCCCAAGCCAAGAGAGCTGGCTCAGGACACTGCCTACCCTCCTGGCACAGGCGTGTGGGTACATGAGCTGCTGGGATGCCCCAGGATGCTCTGTGCCCACCAGCTGCTGTGCCTGGCACCCATCACAAAGAAGTGCTGTGAGATTTAATTAATGAGGCCCTAATGGAGAAGGTGTGAGCAGTGCCAGCAGGTGCTGTGCTGTACTGCAGGACCAGGAACACCCAGCACCCATCTGCCAGGAGCAGAGGCTGACAGCAAACCCTGCTGTGCTGAGCCCTTGTGCTGCTCCCATCAGTGTCCCCATCTCTGCTGAAGCCACCACAGGGTTTGTGGAAAGCTGGTGGTGAGCCAGAGGCAGCAACTCCACCACTAGCCCTGCTCCAGCAGCCCACACTCACCAGTGCTGCTGCTGCTCCTCACCATGCAGCACGGATTAATTAGCATCATTAATAGTAAATTGCTCCGGAGGGCGAGGCTGGCTGTCTGCAAGGCTGCCAGCGTGGGCCTGGCTGTGCTGTGGTGCTCTGGCAGAGCTGGGCCCTGCTGCTCTTGGCGTGGGGAATGATTTATGGCCCTGCTAACCATGTTTGAAAGGTGCAGCCCTGCGCAGACAAGCTCCAGCGGGCTATCGACAGCAGAGAAGCCACTCAAGGGCCAGCTCTCAGCCAGGTGCCGGGTGATGCTGAGGTGGTGACACCTGTGTCCCCTGCAGGTAGAGAACATCAGCCTGGCAGAAGGGGAGACGCTAACGGTGGAGAGCGCGGGAGGGCTGGAGCCCAACCTGCTGGCCAATGAGTCCTTCCTGCTGCGGGGCCAGGTCATCCGCAGCCCAGCCAACCTCCTCACCCTCCGCTTCCAGAGCCCCCGGCCCCCCAGCCCCGGCTCCTACCACTTCCATTACCAAGGTATGGGGCTCAGAACCCTCTGTACCCTCTGGGAGCTTCCCTGCCAGCGTGGTGCTAATTTGAATTGTGGTGATGCGCCAGGAGTTTATTTGAGTTTTAAGCAGGCACTGATTAGGTGAGTGTCACGATCTGTCCTTACGAACAGGTTTCGTGATGGTTCGTGGATTGATCTCAGGGTGCGAAAAGAACCGACACAGCACAGGGGATTCACAGTGATAATCAAAACAAATGCACCTTTATTGAATGACCACAGCGAAATGTGGTCATTAAGGGAGAGAAAAGATAGAGAAAGAGAGAGAAAAGAGAGAGAGAGAAAGAGGGGGATATAGCTACCAAACGTAGAGACGACAGGCTCTCACAGTGAGGAACGCTCATGGAGAGCTAATTGGCCTGAGCAGTTATGGATTCATTGAGCATAATTCTCAGCATCCATAAGCTCTATATCACTCAAGCCCTGCCATACCCAGGCATTTCCAGGGCTCTGGGGAGGCAGTTTTTGGGTTCTGGTGGGTGTCCATCGCTCCTCAACCTTGCTAACAACACTGCCTGCCCCCAGCCTACCTGCTGAGCTGCCCCTTCCCNGCCGGGGCCCCGCCCGCCGCAGCCGCAGCCGGATTAGTCTCTGGCATCCCCCGGCTGCTGTTAATAAACTCCCACCCCGCAAAGCCAATGGGAGGGATTAGGAGCCCATCCTGCCTCTGACAGCGGCCAGCACGCCGAGTTACCCCACAGGTTAGGAGCTGCTGGGGGTTTGGCAGCCCCTCTGCCCACCCCGAGTTCAGCAGGGTCCCTGCTGGCTGCCAGGGCCCAGAGGGGACTGTGCTGGGTGGCCAGGCCCACGTCAGCAGTGCCTGGTCACCTTGGGGACATGGGAGGGACATAGCCGTGGCACTGGAGATAAGCTGCTTAGGGACATCTGTGGAGGTGGAGGATCTCATTCTGTGGAGTTCACGGGGCAAGGGTGGCAGCAGCTGGGCACCCCCTGCCTTCCCACGGTGTGCTGAGCATCCTGCATCCCCAGAGGGCCAAGAGTGCCGAGCATCCCCTGTGCCAAGAGCATCCTGTTGGTACCCAGAGCCCAGGGCAGTGCCTGAGCATCCTGTGGCACCCAGAGCCCCACACAGAGCCCTGGTGTCCCCAGGAGTGCCCAGACCAGCGTGCTCAGTGTCCAGATGGGAGCTGCTTAGGATCCTTGCTGGGAGGCCTGGCCTTAGCCAGTGACCTCCATGGGGCCCTCTGTGCCCCCCAGCACCCCGGGCAGGTGAGATGCTGATGGACAGGAGTGTCCAGGGGGCTGGGTGGGTATCTCCAGCCCAGCCTTCACCACTCAGGGCAGTGGTGGTGGTGCAGGGCCCAGCCCTGAGCACTAATCTGCCATTAAAGCCCAACGGAGATTTTGGCGCCCTTCAGTATAAACTCATTAACTTTTATGTTCTAATAAACGGATCCCATTAAAATATAATTCTGGCCTTGCTGGGGGGCAAGCAAACCCCTTGGAGCTGGTGTGGGCAGGTGTCCCTGCTGTGCCTCTGTGCTCAGGGCATTATCACCGTCCCTGTGCTATGACAGGGGGATGCTGGGGACAAGGGGTGGGTGGCAGCGGTGTGAGGACGCCTGCCAGCACCCAGCAGCTCCCCACCACGCTGCACACCCAAGATAATGTCTCTTAATAGTCCCTTAAAAGCAGCATTCGTGGAGTAATTAATCTTCGCGGGGCCCTGCCCTGCTACGGATAGGGATAATTAGCCGGTAATTGGCAGTATCGTGTCATCAGCGCCTGTGCACGGCGGAGAGACGTGCCCACGCTGCCGTGGCCTCGGAGGGATGCTGGGTGTCACCATGGCACCCCCATGGCCCCAGAGGGATGCTGGGTGTCACTCCCATGGCCCCAAAGGGCTGCTGGGTGGCACCCCCATGGCCCCAGAGGGATGCTGTGTCACCCTGGCTCCCCCCCTCTGCCGTGGCACTGAGCTGTGCCCAGCGAGAGGGGTCGGTGCTGTGCCGGATCCAGGAGCGGGAGATGCTGGGTGACTCATTAGGGCTGATTAAATTCTTTTATTTTTGGTCTAGAGGCCGTAAGCTGCTGGGCTGGGCATGCTGAGGATTTGCTCAGGGACTAATGCCTGGCAGGGTCACGGGGCTGTGACAGGGGAATCCCTGAGGTTGTGGGTGGGAGAGGGGGGAGCATCGATGGGGTAGGAGGCTCCCTGCAGCCTCACACTGCCCGGGGACAGGGACAGCCTGGCTGGGAGGAAGCTGAGTCTCTGGCAGCATGGAGAGGGGTGCAAGTGTCCAGGCTCCTGTGACATTCCTGGTCATGGCAGTCATGGTGATCACCTGCATGTCTGCACCCTGGGAATGTGCAGACCCAGGAGAACCTTGGCACGGGATGGCCACCTCTGTGGTGAAGGATAATCTGAGATATCAGGGACACCCAGCCCCAGGGTTGTCCCCATCCGGGCTGGCTCACAGGAGGAGCAGGCACCCTTCACGGGGTACAACTGCAGATGTGCATTAATTAGCCAGGGCTTAATTGGTAGGGCTGCCCCAGTGTAGGGTGTGCTGGGGAGAAGGTGTCATAGTTCCATTGTGTATGGGTGATGCACTTGTTTGCCATCCTGGTTTTGGGGGAATATTGGGGTGCAGGGAAGCGCCAGCCCTTGGAGCAGCAGGGTTGGTCCATGGGAAGTGCTGGTCCCCAGTGCAGCACAAGTCTGTGGCACTGCACCCGCATCACTCCCCAGAGCTGCATCCACACCTGGTACAGCACAGTCCACGTCCAGGCTCTGCTCCTGGGTGCCACTGAGGGCACGGTGCTGGTCTGTGATGAACCATCACCCCCTGGTGCAGCACCGGTCCCCCGTTCCCTCTCAGTCCCCAGCACAGCATCAGTCCACAGGTTCCCCAGCATCCCGCACTCTTTTCTCCCTCCAGGCTTCAACGGGCTGGCGAGGAAGGCCGGGGAGAGCGCTGAGGTGGAGCCGACGGCGCTGCCCACAGNTTTTTTTTTTTTTTTTTTTTTTTTTTTTTTTAAGTCTCCCTGCCCAAGTTTCTGGTTGGAGGAGCCCAAAAGCACAAACCTCGCTGAATGCTGCGGTTCAAGTCCCTCTTGTACAATCTCATGCCGCTGGCTGTGCAGCTCTGCTGGCATGGTAGAGTGACCTCAGTCCCTTAAAGCTGACCAGTTATGTAAACGACAGTGCCAGTTCTGTGGCCCTGCTCAGCAAAAAGGTTCCTCGGAGCTGGGCTTCCTCACTGCTGTGCTGGGAGAATTCTGTCCTGTCCCTACCGGGGCCTGCTGCCTCCATCAAACTTTTTGCAACACCTCCTTGTGTTTATATTTGCAGTGTTTGGCTCATTTCCCCTCCGATTTGGCAGTCTTCACCCAAGTGCTGGTGTCGAAGAACAGGAGTGACAGAGCTGCAAAGTGCAGCAGAGGAAGCTAAACTAGATTTTTGGTATTTTCTATGAGTCACATTGTTTTAGTGCTTCAAACAAAGAATGGAAAAAAGTTGTGTTTGGCTGGTAGGACATCGATAACTCTTTCCCCACCTTATTCTGTCTAAAATTCCCTGCTTTATCTTTGGCATTTGTTCTAGCTTTGGGTTTTTACATGAATATGCAGTCTGTGAGGGGAGAAAAACAATGGCCAGTCTATTGTCTCAGTTAATCCTTCCCTTAATGGTCATCTTGGGCTGCCTCGGGTGTTTCAGGTGAATCTTACAATGGTCTGAGGCATCTCCTGCTGCAAGGAGTAGGGAATGTCCAGGAAGGTCCTGGAGAGGCAAACTTGCTACCTAATAGTGGCTAGGAACAGGGTTTCAGTACATTGAATGACATCACAGCTTCAAAAAAGCTTGTAGTTTTAAGTGAAGGAAGGTTTTAGTAAGAGGCTTTCTGTTTGTTTGGGTTTTTTTAACAGTAAGTGACTGGCAAACCCCTACTTTAATGTTTATGTAATTGCATATTGAAGGTCAGAGTAAACTGTTCCGTTCCCAACATTTCAATGTATCCATCTTAACCGATACTTTGTTAAAACAATATTGGTTTAAGTATGTGCTTTTAAAAGAACCCAACTTTTGTTTTTATGTATCTCTGGCTCTGATATTTTGGGAGCCTTGGGGCCTGCCCGGGCTGGATCCCGAGGCAGGAGGAAGTGATTGCCCTGGCTGGGTTTCTGGCAGCGGAGGGTCACTGCGTATGCGCCTGCAGATGTGGTAACATGATCAGTCTTGGCAGCTCTGCTCGGCAGAGTTGTACCAATGAGATTTTTCACTCTCCTTATTTTGTCCTAAATCTCTCCGTGCAAAGGCAGATAAGGTCAGCCTAAATCTATGGACTTCAGCTGAGGGCTTCAGCAAATCATTCACAGTAAGAATTTGAGGAACTCGTGATTGGGTGACTGGCAAACCACCACTCTCACCTGTGTGTGTGGATGTTGCTCCTGTTAAACTGTGTGTGAGCACTGTGGGCAAGAATTGGGGATTGAGCCGTGGGTCTCTGCTGCAGTTCCCAACATCAGTGTGCAGTGGTAGGAGCATGGCTTTGGGATTCTAAAGGATTCAAAGTTGAGGAGAGGGATGTTTACCTACTTAATTTAGGCTTTGCCTTCAAGGCATGGCTGCTGCACTGACTGGTGTGCATCAAACACGTGCATTGTTCCAAGGCTGTTTAAAATGGCACAGTGGGAGACAGTGGACAAGGAGAATTCTCTGTGTTTTTGTACCTTGGCTTAGGAAAGTGCCAGTTTTATGTTGACCACGACTTGTGGAACTGAGAAATCCTTTTTTTGTGCCTCTGTGAGTCCATTTTTGAGTTGACTCCTCAGGAGCAGGAGGCTGCAGCGGTTTGCTTCGAGGTGGGGTTCAGTGCTTTGTTCCTGCTGCTCCAGAGCTGGTCTTTCCTGGTATGTCAGCCTGCAGGCATGACTCATGGGAGCCTTTCACAACATGGAAAGGTCTTCCCAGAGGAATTCCAGCTCCTCCAGGCATTTGCAAAGGAAATTCTTAATTGGATTAGATTCATAATACTAATCTGCTAATGACTGTTTGTTATGGAGATCTTGGCACTATCTTGTAAATATATTCACCTTCCTTTAGCTGCCTTATGTCTTTTTATCACATACAAGCTCAGTGTTGTTAAGATTGTACTGCCGCCAGCAGATCTGATAGTTGGGAATGGGGGACTGCTGTGTTTATTGCACAAGATCTTATAAAGCTCATAATTCTTTCCTCTGTCTCTCTCCATTTCACGGTGTTGTTTAGGTGGGGTGGTGAAAGGGAAGCAGTGGTAATTGGCATGTCTGACATCCGGCTGCACTGCTCTTACCACGGGTGTGAAGGACACCCCGGCTGGGCTGTGCCTCTGTGCAGTTGTCAGTGACAGAACTGGGTATTTTTAGCAAGAATCAGGACCAACCAGGAATTTCCCCCCCCCTCAAAAAAGGCCTTTTTTGGGTTGTAGGTGCTGTTGTGGTGGTGTGAGGAACACCTGCAGGAGAGCAGGGTTGCTGTGTTTCTCTGTGTAAGACAGAGTCAATTTGAAATTTCAGTTGTAACATCGATACTGAAACAGTTTTTCAACACTAACA